CAGGCAATCCACTCAGCCTCCCAAAGGCGCGGGATTACAGGCTGAGCCACCGAGCCCGGCTGCAGTTTACTTTCAACTTCTCAGACTCCTTTGCTGACAATTTCTTCTCAGTCTGATCCCTAAACCCTGGTGTTGTCTGGCCCTGGGCCTGGTCCAGTATTTTTACTTCCTCTGTGTTCTCTACATAGGTATACAATATTTATTCTTAGAGCTTTACATGTCTGCTCCTTGCTAACAACGCTCTCTTATATTCCAGTTCAAACCACTTTTCTGAGCACAGACCTGTAGCTCTAACTACCTGCCGAATATCTCTATGTAGATATATCATTGACAGAAGCACACCTTTGATCCTAACACTCAAGGCTGCCTCTAAAATTGGATTCTCCTCCTATCTACCACATCTTAGTAAGTGCCACTTATATCTCCCCAGCCACATTTGCCATAAGCCTTTCAGTTCTCTTTAAAAATTCTCCTGCTGAGCTCGGTGGCTCAGCCTGTAATCCCGCGCCTTTGGGAGGCTGAGGTGAATGGATTGCCGGAGCCCACGGGTTCGAGACCCGCCTGGGCAGTGAGACCTTTACAATAAATCTCTACAGTAAATCAAAAAATCAGCCAGGCGTGGTAGGGCATGCCTGTAATTCCGGCTACTTGGAAGGCTTAGGCAGAAGGATCGCCGGAGCCCAGCAGGTCGAGGCTGCGGTGGCCGGGAGCGGCCACTGCACTCCAGTCTGGGTGACAGAGTGAGACTCCAGCTCAAGAAAACAAAAAACAAAACAACAACAACAAATTCTCCTTAATCCCTCTCTTATAATCCACCAGGCAAGTCTTATTGATTTTATCTCCAAAATAAGTCTGAAATCTGACTGACTTACACACAGTAAAGTGCACAGATCAGTTTTGGCAGATGTAAAACTGGATAGCCATTGCCCATTGTAATAGGGACCATTTATCCCAGTAAGTTCCCACATGCCCAGGTCCAGTTAGTGATCGTATACATGTGTATTTACTTGTTAACTGCTTGCTGGCCATCAGACTAAGCTTTGTGAGGCCAGGGAGCTTGTTTGTTGCTGGATTTCAGTGTCCAGCCTGGCACTTAACAGGGAGTTGAGTCAATATCTGTTGAATGAATAAAAAATTACTGACTAGATGGGTGTGGGAGGCGAGGGAAAGAAGGAGGGCAAGGGCAAGGGGGCCACCATCTTTTGAATGCCCAAGAGGGATGAATTGTTTCCTCCAGAGGCCATGCTGGATAGTTGCTTCTCCACCAGGAGGATCGAGTAGCCCCAGTAGGGTTTATTGAAACTGCCTCTTCTCTCTCAGCCTCTTCTGAATCCTGCTTACCTTCCTCTTTCTCTAAATAGGTGACGGTTCCTCCTACTTTATAGAGGAAATTCAGGCTGTCAGCTAGGAACTTTGTGAACTCCTGCCTCCACACCCAACTTAACTGCAGTTCCACCTGGCTTGTTGTCATCCTCTCCTGTTATAATAAAAGAGATATCACTCTTTCTTTCTTTCTTTTTTTCTTTCCTGCTTTCTTTCCTTCCTTCCTTCCTTCGTTCCTTCCTTCCTTCCTTCTTTCTTTCTTTCTTTTTTTTTTCCTTTTTGTAGAGATGAGGTCTCCCTGTATTGCCCAGGCTGCCAGGCTGGTCTTGAACTCCTGGCCTCAAGCAGTTTTCCTATCTTGGCCTCCCAAAGTGCTGGAATTACAGACCTGAGTCCCCATGCCTCACCAAAAATTATTATGTTTTTAATTTTGGGGATGAGTTGTGTGATAACCATCCTAGTCCAAGGAATTTTTTTCTTCTTTAGATAAGAAAAGAAGAAAATTCAGGTAAAGAATTTCCACCTGACCTTGCATACCACAAAAATAGCTGACTTTTGATGGCAGGATTAGTCTGTTTTTGTATAAAGAGTTGTGTCTTAGCCGGGCTTGGAGGCTCAGCCTGTAATCCCACGCTTTGGGAGGCTGAGGTGAGTGGATTGCCTGAGCCC